GCGATGAAAGGAAAAAAGTGATTCGGAAAAAAATAAGGCATTTCATACTGATTGTCTCAAACGCAAAGTGAAGTTTCCGGCGTCTCTTATGATAGGGGCTGCATGTCTGCACAAGGTGTTGGTGTATCCAGTTTGTGGATGGTTCTATCAATGCTGCAAGGTATCAAAACCTTTTAGAAGAGAACTTACTGCCCTCTATTTCGTCACTTAAGCATCAAGATTCCTTCATTTTCCAACAGGATGCAGGTGCTTCCTGCCATACTGCAAGGACAACGAAGACGTGGCTACTTGCGAAAAGCATCCCTACAATCGAATGGCCATCTAACAGCCCGGACTTGTCGCCGATCGAAACTCTATGGTGGAAAATGAAAAAAGTTCTCCGTAAAAATCCATCAAGATCGAAGAGCGACTTAAAGGCTAAACTCTTGGCTGTCTGGGAGTCAATTACGCTTGAGGAGTGTGCAGCGTTGGTTGCAACCATGCCTCTTCGCATTAAAGCTGTCATTGAGAGCAAAGGCAACACAACTAAGTGGTAGACGAACTATTTTGCGTGAGTGACAAGGGTAGACGAATACTTTTGCCTTATGTTTTTTAGAATATTTTTTTATGAGATGTAAAGTCATGAAAGAATTTCAGTTATGTTAAAATAAACTTTAAAATGTTTCTCAAATTGTGGTTTACTTTTTATTAAACGTTCTTAATTATTTTACCAATATTCACTTTCTATATTTTACGCTTTGCACTACTCTCCATACTAGACGAACTATTTTGCATCGGGGCTCGTATAGTAAAAGGCTGAAGCGAAAGGACATACTAGCCTTATAAACATATGGTATATACAGTGGTCTAAGGATGAGTAGATGTCTTTACTGAAAGATGCACTCAAAGACAATATTCATGGAACTCACCTGCTTATAGCTATCAATTTAACATAATACAGTCAATGTGCTATCTAAAATATCAATGTACCTATATTTTTCTGCTAAATAGCACTAAAATTAGGTTGTAAAATTTTCGATAAAACAGTGTTTTTTTTTTACTTCAGTATCGAAGCATTTTTTAATGTCTGACAGTAATGTAGTGAACAGAAATATCTACTTTCTGAAGTAAATAAAAGATACCGTATCCTATCTATTAGTAAAGTAGCCATATGACTGTTTATAATGTTGCATTTATGCAAAAAAGGGATGTTATAAAAAGGTAATTAAGAATGTATTATTATACTAATACTTTAAGCATTGTTTTTGAAGTAATGTGGCCTTGGCCTACACCTTATAAATGAAAAAGTTTAGGCTTTTCGGTCTTAAGTCACATTATATTTTGCTTTAATTAATCATTATCTTGGTAAGTCACAGATGTACCTTGATCTATTTCGTAGTTCTTTAAGCAGTCACCTCGCCGCTTTCTACTGAGCTAGTGTTTTGGCTTCGATACCCACATGTGACAACACTGTGTGATCCACAAATTCTAATCCTGAGTCTGGGTGTGATGTTGAATTATATGAAGGTATAAATTGTGTATCACATGTGTGTAAACAGTACGTTTACTGCTTCAATCACTAATTACACTGCATGCCTCAGAGCTTAGAATCCCAGTGTAGGGACTACTACAAATAAAATATCTACATTCTTGTATCATATTTAGTTTTGACTACCTGAACATTTTCAGGATATCACCATTGAGATGAGTAATTCTTTAAATGTAACATTGTATGTACTCGTATGTTTTCCTATTTCATGAGATTAGACAAATGACATAATTCTATAATACAGGGTGGCGCAATAGAACGTGCATATTGCATCATCTTTTTTCGCGGGGTAGAAAGTGCGCGGGCGGGGGGAGCCTGCATCGTTGGGTAGGCGGGCTCATGGAGTTTTAGTCACTATGAGTCACTTCGACGGGAAGCGTCGCGCATTTTGCGTGCGCGCATTTTACGAGAACTCTCGTTCATACATCGTTACTAGGCGTTTATATTGTTCTGAATATGGACTACGGCAAATTAGTAAAGCTCCGAGTGCTAATTTAATTAAAATATGGGTACAGCGTTTTGAAGAGACTGGTTCAACGTTTAAACCACAAGCAAAAGGTTGTCCAAGAACATCTAGGACCGACGACAATATTGAGAGAGTTATGCAGTCTGTACGAGGAGATCCACAAATGTCTACTCGTAAGAGATCGTCTGTCTTACACTTATCGCGACGAAGTTTGCAACGAATTTTAAACTTGGATCTTAAACTGCATCCTTACAAGCTGCAGTTAACACAAGAATTGAAAGAGTCTGACTTCGGAGCAAGGCTCGCATTTGCTAATGAAATGCTTAATCGATTTTCCAATTTTGACAATATCCTTTTCTCAGATGAGGCCCACTTCCATATCAATGGGTTCGTAAACCGTCAAAATTGTCGTTACTGGAACAGTGAGAATCCCAAACTCAAGCACCAGAAACCACTGCATAGTCCTAAAGTGACAGTATGGGCAACAATCTCTGGTAGAGGAATAATTGGACCGTTTTTCTTTGAAAATGCGCGGGGGCAAAACGTCACTGTTAATACCGAACGCTATGTTGCGATGTTGGAAGGTTTTTTGGCTCCAGAGCTTGAAAATTCAAGAATAGTGAATTCTAGGACTTGGTTTCAACAAGACGGAGCTACCTGTCACACATCAAATGACTCCATGGCGGTTGTGAAACAGATGTTCCCTGGCAGACTGATTTCGAAAAGAGGTGATATCCCATGGCCCCCACGTAGTCCAGACGTGACGCCTCCTGACTTTTTTTTGTGGGGATACCTCAAGAACAAAGTCTACAGTAATAATCCGAAAAACAACGATCAGCTCAAGGAGAATATCCGTGGTGAAATGGCAGCAATTACACCAGCATTACTGAAGAAAGTTTTCAATAACTTCCGTTTGCGATTAGAGGAGTGTCGTCGTAGAGAGGGTCATCATTTAGACGATGTTATTTTTAAAAAATAAACTTCAGTTATTTCTTAATAATACCTCAGTTTTATTTTAACTATACCTTTTGTATTTATTTTCTAATCAATATTTTAAATATGCACGTTCTATTGCGCCACCCTGTATATTAAATTTTAGATAATGTATTCGTAATTTTGTAACTCTCAATAAGAATGCTTCATCTTTGTGTTTGTAAAGAGGAGTTCATACCAAATTGGAGCAATGTGTAACTAAATATGATTGCGTTTCCTTTTTTTTTTTTAAAAGACAACGCCCGCATTAGGAATATACATTCCTGTGTCGCGGGGGACTTCACAAACATACATGAAACTGACACAAAGAACACCCAGACTCAGAACAACAATTTGTGAATCACACAAAGTGTTGTCCCATGTGGGGTTTGAACCCACAACACTCGGCGTAGTAGGAAGCGGCGTGGCGACCACTTAAACCACTACGCCATCCGAGCAGTCAATTATTGATTCTGTCTCTTCTAGAACCATTTAAGTGATTCTTATTTATACTCTTAGGCAGATATTAGGTTTTACCTTTGAAGTTGGAGATTTGTAGAAAAATTTTAAAATATAAAAATGATTTTTATTTTATTTTGGCTAATCAGTTCCGGCCAAAATTATCTATACAATTTTGCCATTTTGATGGCGAAGTCTGTGTTCATTTAAGGTTAAGGCACCTGGCGCCCGAGATTAATAGTTTTGTTAGGATTTGTGGTGCCACCAGTTAGTTTATTCGTTTATTTGGAACATAGATAACAATTAACATTTCACAATTACATTCAAATATTTTTTTTAATTTTTTAATATTACAATTGGCGAAGGGAAGAGCGATTGACCAGTCGTGCTTGTTAAATTGCCAGCTTCTCCATAATTGTTTGCAATTCTTGGCAATAGATATCTACCATCACTCTTGTGCCATTCCGTAAGAAGTTGTGATGTACTATGGGGAATCTTTTTTTAGCGCACTCATTCGGTGCTGTACGCACCCACTGAGACGAACTTACGGTTGTCGTACAAGATCCACTATTCATCTCAGGTAATAACTCGATTCAGAATTCCTTCGTTTCTACGGTGCTTCGATGCGTAAGTCTCGCTGATGGTCGCTTAGTTCGTGTGGCACCCACTTAGCTTTTTATCTTTCCGATTTGATGCAAGTGCTTCAATGTTGATTGGACGCTAACTCCAAAGCCGGCAGCAAGATTGAGTTGAATCCAATTCCACTATCGCCTTTAATTCGACGTTGTCGCCTATAGTGACAATTTTGATTTCAAATCAAAATCAAAATTGTCAGAGCTAAAACGATTGAACCAATATTCGGTGTTTCTGAAAACAGTGTAGTGAGCGCAGCGGTATTTCCACGTAGGAACTCATATTCGAAAATTGTACAAAATTTATTATTATTAAGGTGCCAAAATCTACCACAGTTTCACAACAACAGAACACTTTTTAACACAAATGACTTAATTCCAAATTAACTTTATTTGAATTTCGAATTATCTACAGATAATTAAATCTAAAAATCATGGTTGTAAAGACTTCCAACTTCATAGGTAAAGACCTAATATAATACACAATAGTGATCTTTACTTAAAACCATGAATTTAACAGTTTGCATAAAACATCAAGTGTAATATGAGATGGGCCTGTTAGTCTAGTGGTTATGGGATCTTGACTGCTAAACCAGAGGTTGTGGGTTTGATTCCCACCCAGGACAAATAATTGTATGAGCAGAATCATTTGTTCTGTGTCTGGGTGTAACTTATCTATAATATTTATATTTGGAAATTTATAAGTAAGTTAATCAGCAGTCATGTTAGATAGGCACTCAGCCATAAGATAAGTGCTGCTTAGTTTGGAATCAGATGACCGTGTGTGAGGTTATTATTATTAGAAACTAATGATATGCATAAAAAAAGTAAAGCTTATATAACATGAAATAATTTGAGTATTAGATATCAGTAAACAAAAAATATATTTAACATTTTACTTAACTTACTTAATAATTAAACACTTAGCTGAAAAGGCACTTTGTTAATATTCTGGTGAACTGTCAGTGTACTTCACATCTTCATTTACAATTACAGTCTTTTGTGTATGTTTATCTTCAACATCAAATATTATCAAATCTTCACAGATGTTGTTATCTTTCTGTAAAAAAAAAATGTTTTTCAGACCCTTTTTTTATTGTGACTTTTTTTAAGAGTGCAATGGAAATTTACATTCAGAGGAATTGCAAAAAGAAATTAGGCAATAGAATAAGTAACTTACACTTGTAGATGCCACTTCATTTTTAGATTTCAATGCAGCAGCATAATTTAAAATTGGTTTAGTAGTACTCGAAGAGACTAAAGGAGGACTTGGGTTAGTTTCTTTATTTTCCTCTACAAACGGCACTGAATTTGGGATTTCAGCATTATTATAGGGGATCAGAGCATTAGAAACATTCAAGATGTCTACTCTCAAAGGTGTCTTCAATGCTTCCAAACATGCTTGGGCCATTTCAAGTTCCCTATTTACATGTTTCTCTGCTATATATTTATCAAATGTGGCATGTAGCTCAGCAGAGTGCTTTTCAGTCAAAATGTGAGCCATTTCCTTGATTTCTGTCTCTAGTTCCCTGATTGTACTTTCATTTTTGGCAGCAATTTTTGCTTCTTTTGAAAGTCTTGCATCTACTGCTTCCTGTATATGCAATATTGCATCACTAGTGTCATTACTCTGCACATTACTTTCTGTCACTATTTTCCTGAAAGTACTGTGTGGGGACAGTCTGTGCGCTTTTTTATAACCAGTGTATTTTTCACCTAAGTTAGCTGTAACATCTTCAACATACTCATACATATCAAAGCAATTAATTTTACCAAACCTGTACAAGAAAGTATGTGTTGATCCTGTAGAAGATGGTTTGTTTGTCAAATTACAAGTAACAAAATTTTTCTTGCCATGATACTTTTCAAAGAACTTTTGGAGACCTTTCGATATTAATTTATCTCTAAATGTAGGTTTGATGTTAGTGTTTTTTCTATATTTGTACCAACCAACTACTTCATTAGCAGTACTAGAAAGTAAATCAGACAGCACATCCTCTTTAATTCTGCCTGTGGGAAAATAAAAGAGGGAAACTGAAGGCAAAGGTAGCACAGTTCTGATAACAATTTGTGTATCTAGACGAGCATTCTCACTTTGTGAATCTGATATGTGATTGGTTATTTCTGAAGTTATATCACCGAGAAGAAACCCTTCCTGAAAATTAAACACAATTATAAAATTACATTAATTAAAATATTTCATTTTAATTGGTGAGTAACAATAAACATTTCCACCTGGCTACTTGTAGAGTTTATACATTCATAAAACAAAAACGATAATGCCGTGCCACTTATTAGCACTTTTTCTGTATACGCCATTGTTACATTTACAAATTGCACTATACAATTGGTTAACTTGAAGAGGGTGTAATCTTATTAATAATATATTTAAAATATTGTAACAATTTTTCAGATATTGCAATAGACGTGACAGATTGTGACAATGACTGATGTTAAGTGACATTTTAACTTTTTAATTTTAATGCAGCACTAGTCTTTAATAGGAGATCATAGAGTACAACAAATATTATTATCTATACAAATAAATAAAATTGGAGTGTCTGTTTGTAATATTAAAATAACCGCTTTTTACTAAATGCAAATGTATGTTTACACTGTACATATGTCAAAATAACATTTTTTTCAATTTTTGTCTGTCTGTCTGTCTGTTTGTTCTGGGTAATCTCTAGAACGGCTGGACCGATTTCGACGGGACTTTCACTGGCAGATAGCTGCACTTTACTCTTATCTGCGTCTCTGTACAAGATGCAAAGAGACTTTTTAGCTATCTAAACAAATTGTTTTTTTGGAGCATCAACATTCACAGCAGAGAAGAAAGCACAGATAAGGTTAGGGGCTTGCTTCGTACCTTCGAAAATAAGAACCCTAGATGTATGGCCTGCGCATGCGCAAACGTACCACGCGCCTTCAGCAATTGACTGATTACGTTTTATTTGTTTGTTTCAATAACTATTGCATTTTATGAAATTCTAATGATAGTGCAGTTAGTTTCGAGTAGGGTGCAGTTTTTCCACTGTGCAAAAAGTACGAAATTCGAAGTATTTCAAGTGATATAGACAGTGTAGCAGGTAGTACCTTTATTTATTTCTTACTCGTAAACTAAGAGCCTAAGAGGGAGCTGTTTTAATAATAAATAATTTTGGAAAGTGCTATTTAAGATACGAGTACGTCACTTGGTATATTTTTTTTATATCTCAAATTTACAGGCTGGGGTGGGGGGGTCAACTATGCACTGTGATTCTAAGTAGGTCCTGACGTCATCACAGTGGGCATGGCTTAAAATTAGTACATTCAGCGTCCATACTGTGCGCTTGTGTCGCAAATTTGCAAATCGGTATTATTATGTGGTATTAGGAAGAATAGCATGAAATTTTGTATTTTATCGTGTTAAAATAATTCGGATAAATGTTTTGTTGCTATGGATGGCATCGCATTTAATTTGTAAGTAATTTCATACTTAATTTAATAAAATAGTTCTAGAAAAATCTCTCAGTGTTTTTTTGATATAGGTACTTCTGTTCGTCACTAGATTTAAACCAAAAATACTAACGTACGTAAAGCTTAGCTTTAGGCTGATAATACTCGTATTAAAATTTGTTCTGCTTTCAGTCCTAAATAATCTTTAATCGCCAAAACAATATATTAAAATTTTGAGTAATCATTTCGTAAACAGACTGTCATCTATCGTCAACTAGAAAAAACATACATAAACAGAACAAAAGGACAGGGCTAAAATTGAAATCCAATGTTAATCTAGCAAAGTATGTTCTTCAAATATGAAAATGAAACAAATTGCACTTAAGTTGATTTTTAAGATTTTTTTCAATTGTAAGTGATATTCTTATTGCAAAAATACCATTTGGCATTTCGTAAAAGTCCACTAAAGAAATTGCTATTTATGAGTTATACCCACGGAGCAAATACAAAGAGGAGATATTATATTCTGATGCCTAATTTGAAATAAAATATTGTATTTTATTTTAAAATAAAATTCCATTAATTATTATAATTTGTTTTTTATTTGTTTTACCCCGAAATACTAAGTATACTTAACTATGGGTGAAAATCATAACACTCTTTTTCTCCATAGTGGGGTGGGTTATAGAACGATGCAAGTCGTTTTGCTATTATTTGGTAGATGGAAAAAAAGTGAAGTAGGCGGAGCTTAACACCCCCTAACCCCGCAAATAGTCACGCGTTGTTTCATAGGGAAATCTAATTACAACACCTTGATATTGATTGATTGCTTTGCAGCGTGGAATTAGGCACCGGGTATATCACCCAATGTATACACTGATGCGCTCGTAATAATTTTTAAGATGATGTATTGCAGTGCAAGGGGAATCAATATAAATGGTGACTCCATTTTCATTTTTGAAAATATTTTCTTTTTATATATTTTAGAAAATTCTTTTACTCACTTACAGAATAGTTTGCAGCATATTATTAAGTACTATAAATATTTAAAAAATATCTACTGATTTTAATAAAAAATAAAATAAAATGGCTTACGTGGGAGAGCCATGCTTCGGCAAAAATGGGCCGGCTCGACTGGTGCGATACCACGGCCTCACAGAAAACCGGTCGTAAAGCAATTTGTCTGTTGCATTTCGCCATTTTGAGTGAGGTTTCCGGAGCCCAACCCCCCATTATATCCCCCTCGGATGTGGAAAGTAATGAGCCTTCACTGTTGGACCTTCTGCTGACCTCTGATCCGGACGGCTACTCACCAGCTACTCAATGACTGACAATATGGTTTTCGCCGGGGTCGCTCAGCTGGTGATCTTCTCGTATTTCTAACACACCGGTGGGCACAGGTGAGCGGGAGCAAAGGAGAGGCTTGTGCGGTTAGTTTGGACATAGCGAAGTCCTTTGATCGGGTCCGGCATAAGGCGTTTCTCTCGAAGCTCCCGACAAATTGTGTAATTGGGTCAACAGCTTCCTTGCGGACAGAAGCATTAAGGTCGGTGTCGATGGTGCATGCTCCGACCTGAAATTCGTAAATGCTGGTGTCCCACAAGGCTGTGTGCTATCACCCTCACTGTGTCTTCTGCATCTCAATGACATGTTGCAAACTAGTAGCATCCATTGTTATATATGCACATGTGGCGACTCCCACATAAACATACTACAGCGCCATCTAATGAAGACACACCGAACTACGGAGTAACTACTAAAATAAGAATTGCTAATCCTGTATCGCGATATAAAGAATTCCCTCGCCGATTAGCATATATACAACTTCCCAACATCAACCGTTGGGCCGCGGCCCGCCAGGCATGATCACCTCGCCTGGTCGGAGGATCCTCCCTTTGTGTTGGAGGGCATGACACCCGTTCCTCCACAGTGGTGACCCCGACGTAATTGGAAGCAGCCTTCAAAAGGAGCAGATCATCAGCAGCACCATCGTATACACTCCCACAGCGATGAACAGTAATCAAGTCTCAGCCAGCCAGCAACCTCGGCCTCTACAGGGATACCACACGCAGATAGCGACCGCTCCAGCCTGGTTACCTCTACGGCCTCATCAGCGTCTAGGCACAGCACACTGCCCCTACGGTCCACGTAAGAAGAGCATTTTCTCTCCCGTCTACGCAGCAGCCAGCCACTACGCAGCAACCGCCCCGACTCACTGGGGACTTCACCGCAGCACCGCGCACCGCACGCTATCCCGACTCACTGGGATCAGCGGACTTCAGCCCCGACTCACTGGGGCTAGCGGCACTCAGTTCCGACTCACTGGAACTAGCGGCACTCAGTTCCGACTCACTGGAACTAGCGGCACTCAGTTCCGACCCACTGGAACTAGCGGCACTCAGTTCCGACTCACTGGAACTACTCACTACTGGCACTGGCACGCTCCACAACAGAGCATAGACAGCTGACTCATCATATATCGACCTCCGGTCTTGGAGGGGAGTGATGTGGCGACTCCCACATAAACATACTACAGCGCCATCTAATGAAGACACACCGAACTACGGAGTAACTACTAAAATAAGAATTGCTAATCCTGTATCGCGATATAAAGAATTCCCTCGCCGATTAGCATATATACAACTTCCCAACATCAACCGTTGGGCCGCGGCCCGCCAGGCATGATCACCTCGCCTGGTCGGAGGATCCTCCCTTTGTGTTGGAGGGCATGACACCCGTTCCTCCACACACAGGAGATGAGACGTGCACCGCAAAAAAAGATACCATTTGTCGTAACACCTCAGTTTGAGGGCACCTCCCTAACTGCCTCAGCCAGTATCAGAATCCTAGGCATCGGCATATCGAGCGAAGTCCAGTTTCGGGGTCACTTAGAGGGTAAGGTCAAATTGGCCTCGAAGAAGCTCGGTGTGCTGAACAGATCGAGGCAGTATTTCACTTTGGCCCATTGCTTTTAGCTCTATAAGGCGCAAGTCCGGCCGCATATGGAATACTGTTCTCATCTCTATGCAGGCGCACCTCAGTATCAGCTTCTCCCTCTGGACCGCATACAACGAACAGCGACTCGATTCGTCGATAGCCAAAAGATTTGCGACCGGCTCGATTCGTTGGCGTTACGTAGAGATGTAGCTTCACTCTGCATTCTCTATCGCATATATCATGGATAGTGCGCCGAGGAATTGTTCGGACTAATACCAGCCGCTTTCCGCCATCGTTCCACACGGCAAAATTTTCATCCTTATTACCAGGATAGTTGGCGCTCCACTACTGTTCGCTTTTCTAGATAATTTTGCCCCGCACAACCAATCTGTGGAACGGGTTATCATCTGCGGTATTTCCGGACCGATACGACCTTCAAGTCTTCAAGAAAAGATCGTACTCCTTCCTAAAAGGCCGACTCCTGAGTTGCAGACGTTCATGGGCGGGGATGGTCACTTTCCATCAGGTGACCCGTCTGTTCGTCTGGCCCCTCTAACATAAAAAAAAAATATATCAGACATTCACATCAGGCCCATGAATAAATCCCAAACTACTTTTTTTAAGAATTTTCTACTATTTTCTACATTTCCACTTCGGTCGTCAGTGTTGCCAATCTAGTGGATTTTTCACAAAAACTGGTGGTTTCGCCAACTAACAGACATAACAGATAGACAGGATGATTTGTTGATGTCCCCAGAAGGCAAAGGAGAAAATGCGAAGTTGACAATATTGGGTCTGGGCAGACTAGCGATATAATTCAAGGTCCTATTAAGAAACTTCCACATACCTTAAGTATTGCTCTTCAAAGAGGAGGAGGAGGAATTGAGGAATTAGCGACCTTTGCTATTACTCTCTTAATACTGCCTCATTTCAATGCCGATGTT